TGTCACAAAAATAGCTGAACGTATTTTTTAATATTTCAAATAGAATTTGCTGAATCACATCAAAATACTGTATTAGTATTAAACTCATCATTTTAGTATCGATTTTAAATGCATTGAAATTGTAATAAATTTACTCATTTATACTATATTTCATAACGATTTCTGCATTTGGCATTGAAATTTCTTCCTAATTTCATTCTTAGTATTTGAATATATGTGTTCGAATACGATACATTATATTATTTGTATTGGACTCATAATTAAGTCTTGAAATTTCACATTTTAGTGTTTGTGAATATGTACAAATATGATGGATTAAACCATTTGTACTTCTTGGGATGAAATTGTATTTCAGTTGCTCTTTTATTGACATTCAAATTAGTTTCAGATTTGTTCATAGGATGGTGTTGTTGTCATGGTGAGGAAGAAATGGAATAAAGAGTGTGTATCGGCGTTTTTCCGCGCTGAATTGCTCGATAATGGATGATCGTTATGAAGGTTTCAACGATTACAATCACGCATATGACGTTCAGGTAAAGATAAAATATTATTGAATTTTTCTTTAAATTAAATTGTTTCTCAATTGTTAAGTTTAAAATGATTATGTTCAATTTCTAATAAAATTTCTTTATTTTTGATGAATAAAAAATTTTGGCTAAAATTTGAAAGTAAATTTTGCAGAATGTTCTGAACGATGAAGTTTTCCAGGAAGCTGTAGCTAAATCAAATTATGGTAGACGAACGGTGTTAATTAATGTTTCTTTTTTTTCTCTCCTTCTTTTCCACTATTCTCTTCCATTCTTTTCGTTAATTTTCTTCAACTGCAAGCTGATTGTTGAAAATTAGAAAAATTATTCCTCACTTACTGAAAAGTAGATTTGAGAAGGGAAAAAAAAATTTCTTGAATTATTTCAGCTTTGACTTGTTAAATTAATTTGAATTGTTTAAAGTATAAATTTTGAGCTAATTCTGAACAATACGATTGGACACAATTACTTTTTCTTTTTTTCACACATTCTAAATATATTCAAATGTAAATTACATTAAACTTTATTATGGCTTTTAAATTTTTTTAGAAAAATTTAACATCAGTTACAACACCTATCAATCGTGCTAATAGTGTGATATCAAGTCATCGATCCGGTACCGATACAATGGGTGGTATTATGTTGCAATCTTCCATAGGTTCACGACGTGGAATTGAGCCAAGCGTACCGATGACCGCAATACGAAGTGCTGGTTATTCGTCAGCAGGTCGAGGTACAATATTACATGTAAAATGATGCTGAAATTTCTTATCATACATAAAATGCGATTAAAATCACTTCACGCATATCAAATTAAGCTCGAATCACTTTATCAGTATTGTAATAAAATTTTAAATTTGCCACCTGAAATCTTCCCATTCTTTCTATTCCTTTTCTCAATCATAAGCTTATACGATAAATAACGCATTATTGATTCGTTTTCTTCAGGAACCTCATTTAATCCGTTAAAAATGAGCATAACAGAAAAATCACCCGAAATAAGCAATGAAGAAAAATGTCGTCAAATAGAGCAAAAAGTAAACGAACTACTGAAAGAAAGTATTTTTGCATGGGAAAAAGGTGATATGAAACAGGTTATGGCTATTGTTATTGTCAATCATTAGTATTATCATTATTATCACTATTAACATATTGTTTATAATTACTTTATAATCGATACATTTACAAGAAAAATTGAACATTTTAATCAATCAATAATGCTTATTATTAATTATTCTAATTTTTGACTAATATAATTTTTTTTGTACGTAAGTTATAGCACAATTTTAATGAACAAAATGATTAATTCTTTAATTAATAAAGTGAAGAAAAAGTTTTTTAGATAAAATGTTTACAGGCACTTGAAAAAGCAAAAGAAGCGGGTCGACGTGAACGTACAATTATTCGGATGCGTGAACAATTATCAATTATCGAGCAGCTCAATTTAGATCTAACATTTACAGTATTATTCAATTTGGCACATCAGGTTGAGTAATAATTAAAATTTAACTTCAATAATAATTAGATTAGACTTAAATTAATTTTTTTAATTTTTTTCATTTATTTATTTTTTTGTTAATTTTTTGAAATAATTAACTTTTTTTTACAATAACTAATGCTAATTTTTAAATAAT